AACATAAAGAAGATGACCTCTGCACACCTGTAGGACACCATTTCACCCAACCAGGCCACAATATGGAAGACCTCAATATTTTAGTTCTGAGAGGAAAATTCAAATCCATCCAGGAAAGAAAAACATTTGAACTAAGAATGATAATTCTATTTGACACAAAAGATAACGGCCTTAACTTGGACATGGGATTCCTCAACCATTATCTGACAGCTTTATGACTATCTATTAGCCAAAGCTTGACCCCCTCTGTGTGAGTGTAGTATTCCCCCCCTACCCCCCTCGCTTTTGATGTATCTTATCTGTAGCCTTTTTTTTTTCTCAATCCCTTCTAACATTCTGCTTAAACTTTGTGATTTGTAATAGTACTGCTTAGACCTTGAAGAAGGGGACATACCCCGAAAGCTTGTCCTCAAAATTGTATGTTAGTGCAAATAAAAAAAGTATCACGGACAGTACTCAATTGTTTCTATAACAGAAAGAAAAAACATTTTTTTTTTCAAAATTGTCTGTCTTTTCTAGTTTAGAGCCCCCCCCAAAAAAACAGATCAAATACCACCAAAACAAAGCTCTATTTGTGTGAGAAAAATTATATAAATTTCGTTTTGGGTACAGTGTTGCATGTCCACGCAATTGTCAGTTAAAGTAATGCAGTGTGGAATAGCATAAAATAGCCTGCTAAGGAAGGAGAAAATCGTTATGGAGGGCAAGTGGTTAAGCTGCTGCTTAGTCAGCATAGCTTATATAGTCACAGGAGAACATGCAAATCTGCCTACCACGATGAAAAAAGCAGAACTCTAGGATTTTTTTGGGCCTCAAATTAGGCAATTGTACACTACCATACAAAGGTTTTAGGCAGGTGTGATGAAATGCTGTAAAGTATGAATGCTTGCATGTAAAGGTTTCTGGTGGGCATGATGGAAGAATGTCCATCAGTATCATCGGAGATGGAAAGCTGTCCAAAGAAGAAAGTTTGTACAACCTTCCCAGTTCCGCCAGTGTAGCCTGCATTAAAGGGTGAGGAGATGAATGTGAGGTAAACTGAGCAGCTGCCCCGGGAATCCCCCCAGAGGTGCTCCTGCAAAGTCCTGTTCCAGAGAGACCCAAAATTTATATAGGTTATGTCTGCACCAGTCAAATACTCGAGTCAGGTGGACTGCTGTGTAATACAAGGCTGGGTCTGGGAAGCCAATGCCCCCTCTCAATTTGGGTCGTAGCAAGAGTGATTTACTAACATGCGAAGACCTCCCGCGCCAAACAAAATGGACACAAATTGACCTTAAAGCGTGAAAATACGTCTGTGATCGTTTAATCGGCAAGGTCTGTAGGAGGTATAGTAGTCTGGGCATTACATTCATTTTGAGTACATTACAGCATCCAAACCAAGCCAAAGCCAGATGTTTCCATTCGGCCAAGTTTTGTTGCAAGGAAGACAAAAACGGTTGGAAATTGCATTTGAAGGTAGAGTTCAGGTTCGCACGAATCTTTGTTCCTAAATATTGGATATAGTGTGTCGCCCATTGACATGGAAAATTAGGCCGTAGTCTAGAAAAAACAGAGTCAGGTAGTGATACATTGAGGGGTTCCGATTTTTGGAGGTTCACCTTAAAATTAGATAGGGACCCATAAAGCTTAAGTTCTCGTAACAGGGAAGGCAAGGAGGTAAGTGGTTCTGAAACATAGAAGAGAAGATCGTCCGCATACACCACGACTTTATGATGGTATGAAGGCGCCTGCAGTCCTCTTATGGTCGGGTTGTGGGGAATATGTTTGAGGAAAGGTTCCAAGGTAAGAACAAAGAGAGGTGAAAGTGGGCACCCCTGTCTAGTGCCGTTAGCGATAGATTACAAGGCAGAATTAAGGCCATTAACTCGAACGCACGCCGAAGGGGAAGAATATAAAGCAGAGATCCAATATAACATCGGGGCTGGCACGCCAAGATATTTAAGAGTCTCAAGACAGAAAGTTCAATCAACCCTATCAAATGCTTTCTCCGCATCAGCGGACAGGAGCAGTAAAGGGGTGTTCTGCCGTTTGGCCGTCACTATGCTGTTTATTGTTCTAACAATATTATCACGCGCTTCTCTGGACTGTATGAAGCCAGTCTAATGAGACAATGAGATATGGGGTGGTAACTGGCACAGAAAAGAGGATCTTTATCTGGCTTTGGAATCACCGAGATACTGGCTTGTAGGAGGTCGGAGGGAACCTGGCCATCTGTAATAGCATTAAAAGCATTCGAAAAATGAGGCATAAGTTGAGGGAGGAAAGTTTTGTAATATGCAATAATAAAGCCATCCGGGCCTGGAGCCTTACCGGGCTGGGTGGCTGCCACTGCCACGGATAATTCGTCAGCCGAAATTGGTTGTGTCAGGGATTCCCACTCCTCACGGGTGAGCACCGGGAGACTGGCTTTGCATAATTTGCCATTTCCGCAACATGGGTCTCTTGCTGAGATGCGGAAGGTGTGGGTCGTATATTGTAAAGGGCCGAATAAAACGTGCGAAAAAAACACTTGCCAGTTCCAGTGTGAAGTGGACTTTCGTGCCCGATGGAGACTGTAAGGCAGAGACAAAGGATCTTGTATTCTGAACCTTCAAGGCCCTATCTAGCATGCGACAAAAATATATATTTTAATTGTTTATTTTTATCAATTCACAAAATGCAAAGTGAGCTAACAGAAGAAGAATCTAAATCAAACCAATATTTGGTGCTACTACCCTTTGGCTTCAAACCAGCATCAGCTCATACACTTGCACACTTTGTACACTTGCACAAACTCAAAGATTGTAGGATTAGAGTAATGTGTATGATTAACCAAATATACCAAGCACGTGCTAATAATCATCAATTTCATATGTACATTGAAACAGAGTCATTAAGTGAAACAGAAACAGCTGTGTAGGAGGCTTAAAACTGGAGAGGAACAGGCAAACTCTGCTACTAAGGTGAGTTTCATGTCACAGGTCATACTGTATGTCCTCCCCAAAGATTCCTACCGGAGTCTGTTAAAAGAAAGATGACGAATTGGGATAACATTTTCAAATGGATCAGCTTTGTTTTCCTGAGACAGCTGATGTCTAGGCGTGCACAAGCCCAATGCAAACTTTCATATTTGAATAGAGATCTTTATTTGGCTAACTTTCATTTCAAGAATGGTACAGCCAAAACACACTGGGTTATTAAAATGTTTTAAAGACAATTTTGGATGATACATTCGAGAGCTTTAACATAATGTATGGAATCTTTTGAACAGAAAGTACCAGTATGGTAATTATTTTCCAAAGTATTAACACAGGCCAGTTATAACCTACCAAGGCTTGATTCAAGTGCTGGTTTTCCAGAAGGACTCAAACTTCCACTGTTGGACTGATCGACTGATGATGGGCTAGCCACATATGCAACCGTTCTTGAAACTGGAGGATTGGTGATAACTACAGTGTTCAAAGAAAAAGAAGGTAAACCAAATTCAGAGTTCAATTTCTTGCTAATAATTTGAACCTAAAATTCTGAGACTGAAATCAGAAACAGCTAACATAGATTATACATTATTTAATTACTGCATAACTAACTAATAAATGCAGACACTCAAGCCTAACATAAAAACAATGTTCAACACTTTGCTACTACAAACATTAAAAAATAACTTTGCTGAGCACTCATTATATTAACACTGGTAACACAATATGACCACAACATAATTTAAAAAAATTGTTAATGAAATTTCCACACCTGCAAAAGTAATATACACTAAATATTTATGAGATAAGAGAACCTATCTATTGACAACCCCCTCCCTGAACAATACTAACCTATTATATTGTAAAGCACTGAGCAAACTGTTGGCGCTATATAAATCCTGTATAATAATAATAATAATACAGCAGCCATAACACAAGTGATGCAAACGTGCCTACTCCCTCCTTCATTAATAACAGACTGTATGTATGTAATGATTATGGGAATTTCTACATTCTATTCTTCCTATGCCCTCTTGGGTTCTCCTTCTTCTCACCACAGTTAGGCTGCTTTCACACTGATCAGTTCTTCTTCCGCTTTTTTGTTTAAAAAAGTAGAAGAAAAATGTGGGCATATGCGTTTTTGCTGTGTTTTTTGCTCTAGGATCAATGTGAAAGTGGCCTTAAGCTCCATCTGCCCTTTAGTGCAAAATCCTCTAGGCTCATTTGGTAAAACTTTTTTTTCGCAGGGTCATATCAATCCAGTTGAATGACATGGCCTGCCAATCTGAATCTGTTTAACTTGAATGAATATTTGCTCAACTTCTCTAAATACCTTTGCTCCTGGTAGGAGAAAAGCTGTTAAAAAAAAAAACACACGCTTATGCGCGTTCATGAGTTTGGTGCTAGTGCATTTTATTGGTCAAATATTCATTTATTCTGGTCATTAGAATGCATTACCACGCAAACTCACCAAAATTCTTCCAGTGTCAACGCATGCTTATGCACGCCTGTTTAGGTGTCACTGAGAGTCAAAGGGTTCAGTGGTTCCCAAAGAGCAACGTTAATGTTTTTTTTCCCACAGCTCATTAAAATTGCAAAACTTTTAAAAAGAGTGTGCAGAACATTATCCTGTCAACATGCTTTTGCCACCCTCCAACTAAAAACAAAATTATAGTTTTGGCATGAGGTCTACATTTCATTGTTTCAAGTGTTCCTGCACACAATTGCACAGCTTCCCTGATTCTTATTAAGCTTTTTCCAGAAAAAAATAGCAATTAAGCTTTTCCTACTGACAGACAACTAAATCCTCCAATCATAAAAAAGAGAAAAAAACATGCACACAATCACAATTATAGATACTTTTGCAAAAGGAAATAAATTACTTGATATCCACAAATACATTTGATTCAACTTCAAAAGAATGTAATTAATTTTGTTCCAGTGTTATATCCAAAGATAAAAGGACCTAAATGACACAGTAGATTTTTGGATTTTATTAAACATTTTTGGTTTTCTCAAAAGTTTTTATTTAAATAAAAATACCTGCTTGGATCCCGAGTTCATTTGCTCGAGAAGATGAAGACATAAAATCTTCATCCCATATAGGAGAATTCAGACTGTAAACCTCCTCTTCTAGCATAGACAGGAATCTAAATCAGAAATATACCACATAGTTACATAAAGGGGAACATTTGTACAATAAGGATGTAATAAGGAACTAAGCAGTTTAACTTTTATGACACATGAACTGATTTGATTATGCTGGCTATAAGAGCTTGACAATACAACATACAGAAGCATTAACTAATAACAAAAATTATCATTTAAAAACTGCATTTCGTATTTACTGAGGTTATCTTTGTGTAATATTAAAATTTGTTTGATGATCTGAATCATTTAAGTGTGGTGAATATGCAAAAAAAATTAAAATCAGAAAAGGGGGGAAATACTTTTTCACAGCACTGTACCTGCTGCTGTTCATTAGTGTTCAGTGAGCTGAAAAAAAATGCTGGGGGGTGGGGACACTTTAGCATCCCCACCTTAGGTGGTGGCAGACCCTGGCCCCACAGTGAGCACAGGAGTGACATCTCCAAATCCTCTCAAGCTAGCAGTCAAAGCCAAAGTCTTACATATCACAGTGCAGATATACAGTTATGAGGCTACAGAACAGGAATGTCTCAGCACCCTCACATACCAAGATGTGTACTGCTATTTTTCAGGAGGAATTCAAGACAAAAGAGTGAGATTTTTCAGGATGCTGCTTAGGCAAAACTAACATTTCAAGATGTTCTATATAACACAGTAATTCCTCACTTTTTGAGTTCAGTTACACTTTAAAAAGGCAGAATAATAATACTGTATTATATTAAAGCTTAGTACTATAAAGTAACTTGATTTTGCAGTAAACCATAAAAACATAAATATGCCAACCCACTCTGTGTATTTATGTTTCTGTTCTGAGCAACACATAGCTTATATTCCCATCTAGGCCTTTTGAGAAAACATTGTATGGTTCCTCAAAGAGCATTGGTATAGAAAGCATATAATTTTTGCATTTTATGAATCCAACTTGAAATCTATATTATATTTGCAATGCAAAGCATCAAAATAGGGAACATGTGGTGTGTTTTGCTTCTATTGTCTACTGAGCCCTCCCTGCTAACCAAAACAAAAAGGGAGGATTAAGCAGCTATATTTTATGTTACAGACTTTGTTCTTTGGAATTTCCCCTTTCAGTGGAATGTCTGTTAGGGACAGTTAGCAAAAGCCGTAGGACGCCAAGCCAAAGCCGCAAGTGTTGGATGAACTCCTACATTGCGTTGTTTGTTTGTAAAAGCCATAATATCTGCAATAACAAACCTATTTCAGTATAGGATACTAATGTTTACATTTTCACTTCTGGCAGATATTGTATGCATACATCTGGCAGATGGATTCACACAGAATAAAACAACACAGGTGTTCTGGGATGTGTCATACTTTGGGAAGTGAGTCAGTATTAGTGTTCTCTTCTCCTGTGGCAGTTTGTCTTTCTCCTGTCTAGCCTGTTCCAGCAGCTGACGTCTCATTACAGTGAAGACAGAGCGCAGTAATGTGCGGCCAAACACCTGTGTTGTTTCATATCGATGCAAGCTGTCACAGAACTGGGGGACGTTGCAGTAGCAGAGCCACCTGCAGTAATAAAAACAGACATTTCATTATTTTTCCTGAACAAATATAACGTTTTTTTTTTACTGCAAAAGTATATTTCTCAGCTATTCTGAAAAGGAAAAAAAAATAACCTGAACATTCATTAACCACTTCCCATCCGCCCTATAGCAGAAATACTGCTACAGAGCGGCAGAGGTGCGCAAAATGACGTATATATACAAGATTTTGCTTTTCCGGGTAGGGGGGCGCGCGTGAGCCGCATGCACTCCCTACCTGCGCCGACATTCAGGGCCGCAGCTGTCAATCCACCAGCAGCACAGCACAGCCATCCAAAGCTGTGAGCTTACAGTGTAGCACCCGGACACAGCCCCCTAGTAAAACACTCCCAGCACACAGTTAAGCCTTTGATCGCCCACACGTTAACCCCTCCCTGTCCCATGTCATTAGTACAGTGTCAGTGGTTTTTTTTAGCACTGATCACTGTATTGGTGTCACTGGGGATGTCAGTGACACCAAGTCAGTTCCCCCCAGCACCCCAGTATCAGAATGTCCGCCGCAGTCTCGCAATAAGTCGCTGAATGCCACCATTACTAGTAAAAATAAAAAATAAAACCCAGTATATATACCGCCATTTGTAGACGCTATCAATTTCAAGTAAACTGATTTCCATGTACTGGGATTTTTTTTTCAGCAAAGATGTAGCAAAAAGTCAAAAATATTTTTTTTTTTTTCTCAAAATTGTTGGTCTTTTTTTTTGATAGCGCAAAAAATAAAAAGTGCACAAGCAATCAAATGCCATCGAAAGAAAGCTCTATTCGTGGGAAAAAAGGACATATATTTCATTTGGGTGCAGCATTGCATGACTGCGCAATTGTCAGTTAAAGTAACGCAGTGCCGTAACGCAAAAAATGGCTTGTTCAGGAAGGAGGGTAAATCCTCAGGACGACAAGTGGTTAAATGCTACTTAAGTAAGTTTATGTTTTATAAACATTTCCAATGAATGCACAGAATCTCCACTAACACAAAACAATAGTCTTATCAGCTTTTTTGTGTTTATTTAACATCTAGTTCTTTAAAAAAGAACAGGAATAACAACCCCCATAGCAACCTGACTACACCACTAAACTCAATAATAAATTATATTTTACGAAAGAAAATATTAGCTAAATACAAAAAGCATGTTTATGTTTACTTTTTGGTGTGTCTTGTGTATTTTTTCCAAGTTCTGTGCAGTAACCTTCAGATCTTATATCTGCGCCCTTCCTGCAGTTTTCAGCAGGCAGCTAGTAGTGCATGGGTTGACTTGAACAGGCTAAAGCTGGCCATATATTACACAATTTTCTTGCACAATTTTCTTTAGATCTACCAAAGCAATATAATAGGAGGTCAAACAAACAATTTCAGTTTGTATGCAATTAGGCAGGCCCTTGCACTACACAGTTAAAGATAAATCTAAAGGAAATTGAACAAGAAAAATGTATAATGTATGGCCAGCTTAAGTGAAGCACAGTTATGATGTCACTGTACTGTTATAAGGTAAATAACCTGGGTTTGCAAAGGCATTTGGTGTGCTCAGAGTGGATTTATAAACTTTGCTCTTTAGCAACATATTTAAAGCAAAGGTTTTGTGGCCAGCTTTAAAAACAATAATATAACATAACATATTGTTCATATGCATAATATACCTAATAAAACACTATCTCGTACATTTTGTACAGGACACCAGGGATAGGTGCTGGACAAGACATCTATTTCCCCACTATTTGGGTTATGGCAGGGGTCTGCAACCTTTAAGACATAAAGAGCCACTTGGACCCGTTTCCGAGAGGGAAAAAAAGACTGGGAGCCGCAAAACCATTGCAACATTTAAAACAAATCCGACACTGCATATATTGCAAAAAGCGCTCTGGTCATGAAGGGGGTTTAAGGGCCCAGTAAGCAAAGGGTTAATCAGGGCCACAGTGTATCGTCATAATCACAATCATAGCCTTAGGTCAGTGGTGGGCAACCTTTTCAACTGAGCCAAATCTCGCCAAAACCACGATTAAAATTTATTTTGAGAGCCACATTTTTAAAACTGAAAATACATCCCCCATATAGTAATTCATCCCCCATAGTAATTCATCCCCCCCTATAGTAATTCATCCCCCCTATAGTAATTCATCCCCCATAGTAATTCATCCCCCCTATAGTAATTCATCCCCCCATATAGTAATTCATCCCCATATAGTAATTCATCCCCCCTATAGTAATTCATCCCCCCTATAGTAATTCATCCCCCCCCCTATAGTAATTCATTCCCATATTGTGTCAATTCACTTACCTGTACTCCGCGCGTTCCTCTCGCCGTGTTCCCGCGCAGTTCTGGTCTTCAGGGCGGACTGTGAGAGGAGAGGAGTTCGTCACGCTGCCCCGCCTACATCCTGACAGCCAATGTTTGCCACGCTCTGCGGGCCGGATTATAAGGTCCGCCGGGCCGTAGTTTGCCCATTGCTGGGCTAGCTGCAGAGTCCTGACTTTTGGGGCGGCCGCCCGAGAGGAGGGAGGGGAGCGGGCGCCCGGCACACAGAAGAGCTGCATTAACCTCCCTGGCGGTATGATTCCTTCCGATTTTTTGTGCTGAAAGCGGTACCATTTTTTTCGCATGGAAATAGTTTTTTATTGTAGGCTGTAATTTTTAGGAAAATTTCCCCAAATCATTATCACTCAATTCTGCAAGTGGTTCTGATTTACTATCGCTGTTCTCTAGCCGGTCTAAAACCGCTTTTGACCTAAAGGGACGCTTTTTGGACGCCATGGACTTTTCTAAGTTTCCAGGCAGAAAGAACAGACAAAATGCAGGCAGGGCACAGGACAAAGCACTAGGGACAATATGTATGTGAAATGGGATGAAACAGCAATGTTTTACTATTGAAAATTGAAAAAAAAAAAAAAACATTTTTTAAATTTTTTAAATTTCCCGCCGCCGGCGGCGCCCGTACGTCCCGACGTCACGGGGACCGGAACACAGAAGCCGGATGCCGGCATCGGCCGGAGGAGATGGCCGGGGATGCTGCAGGGGACACATCGCGGGAACGAAGGACAAGGTAAGTGCTGCAGGGACCCCCAGAGCAGCGCCGCATGGTAAGCCTGAGTGTAGCTCGTGGTATAGAAATTCTACCACGAGCTACACTCGGGAAAACCGCCAGGGAGGTTAAAAGAGCCGCGGCTTTGCCGACCACTGAGCTACGGCAACCCTATTGCCTGTCACCTGGTGGGCAGTGTGCTCCGGAGCCTCAGCAAAGGTGAAAAAGAGCCGCATGCGGCTCTGGAGCCGCGGGTTGCCGACACCCGGGTTATGGTTACATTAAGCGGGAGTTCAAGGGACATTTAGTACTCAGGGTTCTCACCCATTCAGGGTGAGGCATTTAAAGGTAGTCTGGTCAGAGAGGAGAGGACTCATTTCTGTACTCTCTGGATTGGCAAGTCCTCACTTGGGACCCAGAGTTCAGAGGCTCAGAGAGACTTTGGATGGAAAGGAGCCTCCAAACCTTGAATTCGGGACTTGAAAACAGGGAAACTTCTGCTAGGGAGGCTTGAATAACAGCAGGAAGGAGTCAGCATGTGTCTATGAGGTACTGTGAAGAGATTCACAGCTGTGAACATGGACCATCTGGAGATTGAGACTGTTTTGCTGAGCTTCTGTGGCTATTCCTGTACCTCCAAGCAGACAAGAATCCTAAACCCAAGTGTAGGACTGGTATATTGGCGATGAGCTTTTTTGTTGTTTTGATTATGCGAGGATTATGGACGGCTTGCTTTAGAGCTGCTAGAGAAAGCTGCTCTTTTGTTTGCTTGTTTTGAATATCCAGTAAAAAATTGTGCTTTCCTGATTAATAAATTATATATATATATATATATATATATATATATATATACATACATATACACACACACAGTTGTGTTCAAAATAATAGCAGTGTGTTGAAAAAAGTGAATAAAAGCTCAAAATCCTTCTAATAGCTTTTATTTCCATACACACAAATGCATTGGGAACACTACACATTCTATTCCAAATCAAAACATGAAGAGAAATATATCAAATTTGTGTTGTTCTTCTAAAAAATTTTCAGAAAAGTGAATATTAGACTGTTCAAAAAAATAACAGTGTTTGTATTCTTCTTTACAAACACAAACATTCACTATATAAACTGAAAAATGTTTGAAGATTTTGCTTTCCTTTGAATCACTTAATGCATATTTCGTTTGATAAGCACTGTTTCTGAGAACTGCTGTACATCTGTGTTGCATGGAGTCAACCAACTTCTGGCACCTGTGAACAGGTATTCTTCCAGCCCAGGATGATTGGACTACATTCCACAGTTCTTCTCTATTTTTTGGTTTTGCCTCAGAAACTGCATTTTTGATGTCACCCCACAAGTTTTCTATTGGATTAAGATCCGGGGATTGGGCTGGCCACTCCATAACGTCAATCTTGTTGGTCTGGAACCAAGATGTTGCACGTTTACTGGTGTGTTTGGGGTCGTTGTCTTGTTGGAACACCCATTTCAAGGGCATTTCCTCTTCAGCATAAGGCAGTATGACCTCTTCAAGTATTCTGATGTATTCAAACTGATCCATGATCCCTGGTATGCGATAAATAGGCCAAAAACTGTAGTATGAGAAACATCCCCATAAAATGATGCTTACACAACCATGCTTCACTGTCTTCACAGTGTACTGTGGCTTGAATTCAGTGTTTGGGGTCGTCTGACAAACTGTCTCCGGCCACTAGACCCAAAATAACATTCATCAGTCCACAAAATGTTGCGCCATTTCTCTTTTTTTTTTCTTTTTTTTTTTTCTCAATCCCTTCTAACATTCTGCTTAAACTTTGTGATTTGTAATAGTACTGCTGTATTAGTCTTCAATATTTTCAGATCATACAGCTGCACCTCCAGTAATGTTGTATACCTTATCCAGTGCAGAAAAATGCAGCAAAGGATCTTATGTTGGTGAAACAGGACAGAAGTTGCAAAAAGGATGAATTTGCACAGACATACCATCAAGGAACATAAAGAAGATGACCTCTGCACACCTGTAGGACACCATTTCACCCAACCAGGCCACAATATGGAAGACCTCAATATTTTAGTTCTGAGAGGAAAATTCAAATCCATCCAGGAAAGAAAAACATTTGAACTAAGAATGATAATTCTATTTGACACAAAAGATAACGGCCTTAACTTGGACATGGGATTCCTCAACCATTATCTGACAGCTTTATGACTATCTATTAGCTAAAGCTTGACCCCCTCTGTGTGAGTGTAGTATTCCCCCCCTACCCCCCTCGCTTTTGATGTATCTTATCTGTAGCCTTTTTTTTTTTTCTCAATCCCTTCTAACATTCTGCTTAAACTTTGTGATTTGTAATAGTACTGCTTAGACCTTGAAGAAGGGGACATACCCCGAAAGCTTGTCCTCAAAATTGTATGTTAGTGCAAATAAAAAAAAGTATCACGGACAGTACTCAATTGTTTCTTTAGGCCAGTCAATGTGCTCTTTGGCAAATTGTAACCTCTTCAGCACGTCTTTTTTTTAACAGTGAGACTTTGCGGGGGCTTTTTGCAGATAGCTTGGCTTCACATAGGCGTCTTCTAATTGTAACAGTACTCACAGGTAACTTTACACCTTCTTTGATCTTCCTGGAGCTGATTGTTGGCCATTTTGGCTATTCTTCTATCCTATCGAATGGTAGTTTTTCGCTTTCTTCCACGTCTTTCAGGTTTTGGTTGCCATTTTAAAGCATTTGCGATCATTTTAGCTGAGCAGCCTATCATTTTCTGCACTTCGTTATATGTTTTCCCCTCTCCAATCACCTTTTTAATCAAGGTACGCTGTTCTTCTGAACAATGTCTGGAACGGCCCATTTTCCTCAGAATTTCAGAGAGAAATGCACTGTAACCAGCATGTACAACATTTGCTGCCTTCCTTCCTTAAATAAGGGCAATAATTGCCACCTGTTTTTCAAAGAATGAATGACCTCACTAATAGAACTCCACACTGCTATTATTTTGAACATGCCCCTTTCAATTAGTGATTCAATTACACAGAATCAGCAGCATGCATGTCATGACTGTTGGGTCTGTTGGATTTCTATTACTCTACTACACCTGCTAGTAAATTATTTGCGATGTAAAAATATCATTTCTACCAAAAACAGTGATTGATCAGGTTAGTGATGTCTGACTGCTATTTATTTTGAACACAACTGTATACACACAGTATATATACACACACAGTATATTAAAACAGGGAGGAGGGCTTAATATGAATTTCAAGAGAAGTCATGGCCTAATATACAGTCTGGGCCTAGGATTCAAGAGACAATGTATGAACCCAAGATCACTATGAGGGCTAACAATAGCTGGCTGCAGCAACTACAAGGTACCCCTGATCCAGTGCTTTTTTTATTTAAAAGTATAACTAAAGCCAGTACTTTTTTGCCCTCTCTGTCCCACTGGGGAGATTTCCCTTTACTTCCGGCCTGTAGACACAACAGGAAGTGAGAGGATATCTTTCCAAACTGAGGGAAATGCCCTCTTAGACAGTTGTCATCAGAATGTGTGTCCCCATTGGAAGATTCCCCCTTCATTCCTGTTAGTGACAGCTCAAAATTACATATTTCCTATCACTTTCAGTACCAGAGACAGTGGTCACCAGGAAACTGGACACCAGAACAATCTCCTTAACAGGAACAGCAATAGAAACTTGACAGTAGTTCTAACCCTTCCCAACTCCATTCAAAAAAAGCTTTTGACTCTGAAGTGTAGTTCATATTCAGTTTAGGTAAAGTGTCAACAATTGTTGGCATATTTGCTAACTGATTTGCTTAGTTATTTAATATTACATTAGGTTGATAATATTAATTATTATAACAATGGTGTCATACTGGCAAACATAGTATTAATTATTAATTTCATGAGATGTTCATTATCCAGAACATATACAAAAGAAGGAATTATACAGCTTATTGCATTTTTGGTTTGATATGTTGTTTGTTCAGATGTACAATATTTATCATATTGATATATGCAAGTAGTATTAGTTCTGCTTTAAGCTATCCAAGTACTTATTTACTTAAGCATGTTAATATTTACTCAGCTATGGAATAAATAACATTACCTAGTGTAGTTGACTTTATATGCAGCAACGTCTTCTGTTGGGGATCTCTGCCTTCTCTGTGATGGAGTTTCAAGATGCCAGTAGTTGATACGGTTCAGAAACATTTTAGCCAGCTCTATGATAGTTTGTCTTTCCTTGGCAGGTAGATGGCTAAATTTGTATTGTACAAAATTATTTACACCCTTTAAGAAGATAAAACACACCAGAGATATTCATATTAATATATTTAACATACAATATATTTTCCAAATATACTGCACCTCACATTTTATAATATGGAGGCTGGTAGATTGTTGTTTTGTTTTATATTGAACAATCACATTAGTGTGAGAAGGAAATTGCAGCAGTTTTAAGAAGAGACATTGTCCTCAGTGGCCAAATAAGTGTTCGCTTTCATTTTCTAACTTGTAGTGAAAACACAAAAACAGAAAGAGAATTGGTGGTCATGGTTCCTTTCCCCTAAACCAAATGAACCCCACTTTCAAAATATACAAAACTTACCTAAAATGTAGGTTCCTGGTAATATTCTTTGTAATGCTTACCTGGCACAACCCTTCCACCCCTACAAATTTTCCCAGTTATTCACTATGTCACTTGCATGTGTGGCCCAAACCCCACTGACATCAATGTATAACCAATCAACAGATTGACAAGCTGTGGCCTGGCTTTATATTAAAGCTGGAGGTCGGCTATACATGTGCAGGATCTCAGGTGCAGGACTGTAAACATTCTAAAGAGAGGATGTGCACTGACAGGTAGCAGCATAGCAAAGATCACTACTGAGTTGTTTTTCAGGCAAGTATAGTACTATGCTAGGGAAGAACTTATCCTTTCATTTATTTTATTAAAGTTTGTTGCAGGTCAGCTTAATGAACTCCAAAAGCCAGAGCATTCAATATACAAACAGCAACTTTCAGCTATAACATTTGAACTCCGGCACAGCCCCTATTCTCCGACAGTGTAATGAGAGCACTTATACATATATAGAGACACAAATTGCAGAAAAGCATGTCAAAGTATATATACACTATCCAAAACAATCAAAAACAATAGGCTTGCCTTTAGATGTACTTCAACTTTGTAACTGAGAAATCACAATCTGAATATTGACCTCTTGGGGTTCATGGGGTACTTAGTAACTCAAAAAATATGTGCAGACACATTTTAGTATCAGCTTACATATAGAACAGGAATTATTTAGAGTGTTGCCTCTGTCTCCTAATACCATTGCGGTTAAGACTCGCCTTTCCATTGGCATAGTTGCTTCTGTGCATCCCCGAGCAGGCAGTCTCATTCATGTCTATTGGGACACAGTGGCTGCATGGACACAGCCGCTGTGTTCCAATATGTCATATGTGTAGGTGTGGGTGAGTGTCCCCAAACTCACCCTGGGTTACATTGGGAGCAGTGGCTGTGTACATGCAGCCCCTGCATCCCAACAGACAGCTATGGAACTTCTGAAATAGGGATGCATGCAAACACAGCCGTGCAAAAGACACGGATGCAATCTTCCCATGTGAACGAGGCACAAAACGGTTGGAAGATAGCTGGTAAGCCCTATATGGTGCAAATGGACACAAAATTCCTTGCTTCATGGCAGGAACAAGCTACAGTCAGGTCCATAAATATTGGGACATTTACACAATTCTAACATTTTTGGCTCTATACACAACCACAATGGATTTGAAATGAAACAAACAAGATGTGCTTTAACTGCAGACTGTCAGCTTTAATTTGAGGGTATTTACATCCAAATCAGGTGAACGGTGTGTAGGAATTACAACAGTTTGCATATGTGCCTCCCACTTGTTAAGGGACCAAAAGTAATGGGACAGAATAATAATTATAAATCAAACTTTCACTTTTTAATACTTGGTTGCAAATCCTTTGCAGTCAATTACAGCCTGAAGTCTGGAACGTATAGACATCACCAGACGCTGGGTTTCATCCCTGGTGATGCTCTGCCAGGCCTCTACTGCAACTGTCTTCAGTTCCTGCTTGTTCTTGGGGCATTTTCCCTTCAGTTTTGTCTTCAGCAAGTGAAATGCATGCTCAATCGGATTCAGGTCAGGTGATTGACTTGGCCATTGCATAACATTCCACTTCTTTCCCTTAAAAAACTCTTTGGTTGCTTTTGCAGTATGCTTTGGGTCATCGTCCATCTGCACTGTGAAGCGGCGTCCAATGAGTTCTGAAGCATTTGGCTGAATATGAGCAGATAATATTTCCCGAAACACTTCAGAATTCATCCTGCTGCTTTTGTCAGCAGCCATATCATGAATAAATACCAGAGAACCAGTTCCATTGGCAGCCATACATGCCCACGCCATGACACTACCACCACCATGCTTCACTGATGAGGTGGTATGCTTAGGATCATGAGCAGTTCCTTTCCTTCTCCATACTCTTCTCTTCCCATCACTCTGGTACAAGTTGATCTTGGTCTCATCTGTCCATAGCATGTTGTTCCAGAACTGTGAAGGCTTTTTTAGATGTCGTTTGGCAAACTCACATCTGGCCTTCCTGTTTTTGAGGCTCACCAATGGTTTACATCTTGTGGTAAACCCTCTGTGTATTCACTCTGGTGAAGTCTTCTCTTGATTGTTGACTTTGACACACGTACACCTACCTCCTGGAGAGTGTTCTTGATCTGGCCAACTGTTGTGAAGGGCGTTTTTTTTCACCAGGTAAAGAATTCTTCGGTCATCAACCACAGTTGTTTTCCGTGGTCTTCCAGGTCTTTTGCTGTTGCTGAGCTCACCGGTGCATTCCTTCTTTTTAAAAATGTTCCAAACAGTTGTTTGGGCCACACCTAATGTTTTTGCTATCTCTCTGATGGGTTTGTTTTGTTTTTTCAGCCTAATGATGGCTTGCTTCACTGATAGTGACAGCTCTTTGGATCTCATCTTGAGAGTTGACAGCAAAAGATTCCAAATGCAAATAGCACACTTGAAATGAACTCTGGACCTTTTATCTGCTCATTGTAATTGGGATAATGAGGGAATAACACATACCTGGCCGAGGAACAGCTGAGAAGCCAATTGTCCCATTACTTTTGGTCCCTTAACAAGTGGGAGGCACATATGCAAACTGTTGTAATTCCTACACCGTTCACCTGATTTGGATGTAAATACCCTCAAATTAAAGCTGACAGTCTGCAGTTAAAGCACATCTTGTTCATTTCATTTCAAATCCATTGTGGTAGAGCCAAAAATGTTAGAATTGTGTCGATGTCCCAAATATTTATGGACCTGACTGTACAGTAAGTTCATTGTAACAGTACTAAGCGCTCTTACGCTCAAGCCAATTTCCCCTATTTATTAGAGGTAATACCAGCTCTGTGCAATATTACACAGAAACATCACTTTCATCTTCTTCTAGAGGGCCCCTGCTGATGCTCTAGACTCCTGTACTCCTTTAAGTGCCTTCTGCAGCAACTCATGCTAAGGAGGCACCAGTGTATGCACACTCCTATTGGGTGCTGCACTGAGTTATGTGTCCAAAGACACACACAACACTGGAAAACCATGCCCCCACTCCCCCCTCACATGTGTTTGACTGACAGCAGCAGGAGACTATGGCTCCACTGCTCTTAGTTTCTCCTGTTAAACAAAGAAGTGAGGAGAGCGACTCTAAAGTCAGCGGCGGTGACAGGGAGCCAGGTACTGCAATTGTTTAGTGACAGGGCCATAGGACAAGTAGTGGGGAGTCTGTTTTACATTTAATGCAGAGAATAAACAAAAATGTTTAGAGTTTAGCACTACTTTAAATCAAAATGAATAACTGTACTAACATGTTATTGTGTTTTGGAAAAAATTAAAATAGGAGACTAGAACATCAAGAATATATAGCCAGCCATGGCAAATCGTTTAACTACTATAGGGCCAGTCTACACAAAGATCACTATCCTGGGTTTATAATGACTTTTCAAGCTGGTAAAGCTTGTGGCAAACATTTTAGGTTTAAAGTAATAGTAGTATAGTAAGTTGAAATCCCCTTGTCAGATTGCTATGATGGAAATTGGTATGTTGCCTTATTAGTTATTATTATAGAACAGCACAGCACTGAGAATCGAATCCTAGCAGTGTCAGAAAGCTTTCGAATGACTTTGGTTTGAGGCTTTTTTCTATGCAATTACACTTATTAGTATAATCAGATTCCTTTCGTACTCTGTGAACCTATCAGCTCAGGTTTAAATTAGTTTAATTATAACCTACCCTGTTTACGACATAGGATCCATTTCCTAAGTACAGAAAATTTTACTTGCAAAGTATAATACACCTGGCAGGCCAAAGTTCTTGCTGAGAAAAACAAGCCATCTTTTAAAGCAAACTTGTGCTTTGCCTATTCAGAGCAGATACCTCCCCCCAATAGCAGATACCTTTCCCTTGCTTTCCACTTTGTCCAGTTATTGGAAGAGAGGAAAAGAAGCTCTGTGCAAGTTTCAAGTCCGTCTGTTCGCAGCTTAAAACATGGATGGGGACTCCTCACCGTTTGACACTGCTGGGCCAATCATGAAGTACCAGCCCTATCTAATGGAGCAGAGAGTAGGTCACATGCTACCTAATCGGGGGAGGACTGACCATTTGAGCACTCGGCACTGCCCGAGGGCCTGGAGTCAGTAGGGGGCCCCATGAAATGCCCCTGGTACCTTTTTTATAGGCTTTTTGTGTGGGCAAGGGCACAGGGGCCCCATGATCCCCTATTGCCCAGGGATCCCATGAGTTGTCAGCCCGCCCCTGTACCTAATCAAGTACCAGGCATCCTCATTACCCTCGGTGGCTGAACAGACAGTGAAAAAGAAAGGTAACTATGTACCTCCAGGAGGGAGTCATTAAAGAATATGTAAATGCAACATTTCATATTCCTGATATGTACCTGCTGTACCATGTACTTGTATGAAAACGTATCCTGTTCTTTTTGTATTGCTTCCTTTGTGTGAAATCTCTGGTGTTCCTGCCCATCCCTCTGCTTTCCTATTAAAAACTGACCACACTAGGCATGAGAGTGCACCATGGTAGGTTCCCTAGCTGTGCTGGAAACTCAATGTGCTCTCCTCCAATGATCAGTCTCATTGATATGAAAGTGGAAAACCCAAATACTCCTGCGCTTAGGGATGGACTCTATGTCATAGGGATCACACCACGAATGTCTTGGAATATGCACGCCTTGCTGCCCTCAAAGAAAAGGGGAGTGCAAAAGTACTAATAGAGAAAAACAAAACAGAGGGCGCACCGGCCTTGTGCATTACCTTTAAAAATATGTTTATTAAATTTAAAAGAAGGCATTCTACTCACTAAAGTACATGAATATAGGCACATCATATGAGACCGCTCTGTCTAATTCGCACTGCGTTTCTGAATGGTGATGAGGATGATGGACATCCAAAATGGCTGACGCGTTTCGAGGACTAGCCTCTTCCTCAGAGCCTAACTACCTAGATGTTTGTCCTTCTCTTATATATGCTCAACAATGCAGCGTATGTTCCAGCAGCCATCTACCATGCTGGGTACAGGAACATCAGTACACATACACTTCACTTGGATCACTGTCCACAGTATACACCTGGGGATGATCTTGTGCAGGAGGCTAAAGATTTGGTATGTTCTTATACATACATAAACCTTTCTTGTGGTTTTTTTTTGTTTTTGTTTTTTTTACTACATTATCTCTATCTTATAATATAAATATTGATTTTTATAGTGCACTCATCTTTAATGCCAACTGTAGCACCTATGGTTATTTATGCCTTGTATATGTTGTGGATATAGATTTTTATATGGATCTATCAATCAGTGACATCCATCTATTCAGATAGAGATGTTTGCATTTCCTATATGTGGATTTGATGTGCTTATTTCATTGCAGTTATTGTATGTACAGTATATAGTATGTCAGCACCTCCCATTTTATTGCTCCCCGCCCCTGGGAGTCCGTGGGACGGCCCCTGGTTAACAAGTGTTTATTCATTGTTGAGCATATATAAGAGAGGGTCAGACATCTAGGTAGTTAGGCTCTGAGGAAGAGGCTAGTCCTCGAAACGCGTCAGCCATTTTGGATGTCCATCATTCTCATCACCATTCAGAAACGCAGTGCGAATTGGACAGAGCTGTCTCATATGATGTGCTTATATTCATGTACTTTTGTGAGTAGAATACCTTCTTTCAAATTTAATAAACATATTTTTAAAGGTAATGCACAAGTCTGGTGCACCCTCTGTTTTGTTTTTCTCTATTAATGATCAGTCTCATCCTGACAACCCCCCACAGCCTTTCGCTGGAAAGATCAGTGTGCTACTGTTTCTCCTCCCCTAGCTCTTCTGCAGCTGAGAACAGAGAATATATGATCACTAATAAAAAATGGGAAAGGTGTAAATAATGTTTTTTTATCTTATCTATACACAAATATTTTGCCTTTCATTACTACTTTAAACTAAATGTGGTGTTTTACAAGGTGAGGGTTTAATCACTGTAAATAAACCTGTTGTTTTGCCCCACAATATGTTAACATATATATGCTGCTGTTTTATTTTGTTAATTTATTAACTGTTCTCTACTGAATATAACAGAAACTAACCAATTACTATGTTAAAAGGGTAAATAAGCGCAAAGGCTACACAGTCCACTTTTTTATTAGAGTTGTATGTTGTCAGTGGACCAGTAATAATGATTTCAGAATGTCAGCCTTGATTCAGCATTTCATGTTTGAAAATGTGCAGTTATGTGAATGGGAATCTGAAGAGAATAAAGGAGGTCATGTAAAACATTACTGGTAAAATGAGTGCACAACAACACTGCTGAAACAAGAACTAAATTAGAACATATTGGAAACATTGCAATGGGCCTGAATAAATTTAGACAACAAGCATACATATGCCATTTATGATATTGAATACAAAGTTAAATTTTTTCGTTAAATATTTTTTTTCTCTTTGATGGAAGGATTATTGCACACAAAAAAATTAAATTATACAGTTAGTAATATCGAATTGATTAGTTAGCCTCCAACTTTGGGGGAAAAAAAACCCAAAGTTATATGAGCTGCAGTACTTACTGCTTGAACTAGTCAGGTTTCCAGAAATAACTATAACTGGAAGATGACTGTGCTAATGTAATAGATTCTGTACTACAACATTCAGTATATGTAAGTCTTAAAACTCTATACTAAATATTAACACTATTCAGTATTAAGTGATGGAAAGATTATTTTACTGAAAACTGTAGACAAAGGAGATTGACTTATAACAGGTATTTCATTTTTTTGCGCGCAGCAGCTCCCTAATACTTACCTGAGCTCCATCACGATTCAGTGATATGCATGGGAGCCTCGGCTCTCTGGGGACTCTCCCTCTTCATTGGCGGAGACAGCAGCCATTGACTCCTGCTGCTGTCAATCACAGCCAGTGAGCCAATGAGGAGAGAGGTAGCGGAGCCGAGTCACAGCTCTGTGTGTGAGTGGACACACAAGGCAGCAGCTCAGGAGCAAGCCTGCTTGGGTGCCCTCTTAGAAAGCTGCTTGCTGTGGTGGCACTAGGCAGAAGGGAGGGGCCAGGAGTGCTGTGGGGGACACGAGAAGAGGAGGATCGGGGCTGCTCTGTGCAAAACCACTGCACAGAGCAGGTAAGTATGACATTTTTGTTGTTTTTTTTTTCACTTTATCACTTTTTTTTATATCACTTTAAAGGGTGTTATGACATAGAGTGGTATGATGTATGGTATACGGCCCATTGCTTTTTTTAAAAACAAGTACTTTAATGTTATTTAATAAACAGTGGAGATTTTATATACTTTTTTGTTACAGTTATTGATAAAATTATGGTACTGAAATAGCCGCATATGTTGTAAAAAAACAATATATGGTTCTTTGTAGCAATAAAATGGAAGGGATGATTATACCGGTTTCTATCTGACTGGATTTGCCATACGAGAATGAGTTAATGTGAAGCTCATTCAAAGCATGCTTGTTCTGGGGCTGTAATTCAAAAATACTTAAAGTGAAACTTTAGTCAGAAAAGTCCTGCTAGATCATTTCAGGCTGGCCTCTTTTACAGGTGTAGGTATGTAAAACAGTAATACACGGTCTCACCCTGCTCTGCACATGCTCAGTTGCTCTCTAATTTTAGGCAATTTTAGGTATTGCAGAATTTGTAGAGGCCAATCTGCTGACAAGCCTTATAGCAGAATTAAACCTTCCTATCCTTTACAGCCAAGGAAGCTGCTTCTGTTTGATCTGCAACTGCCATAGTGCTGCACATTCAGTTATAACACCATCCATTTGATGGTTTGACAGGTTGGTTGAGGATACAAGCACATGTGACAATTAGTGATCTCAGCATTCCAGGAATGTTTTTTGACACTGTTAACAATGGGGTTTACTGCTGTTCAAAGGCTTCAGCAAAATAGCAGCCTCCAGCAAGAAGAAACAGGAGCAATGCTAGAGGCAATTTACACTAATTTTGGTAGCATAATTATTATTGTGGAATGTATGTTCCTTGCTAAAAAAAATGTATTTATTATCCAGTTGTTATGAGTAAATTTCGCTTTAGGTAAGACACAGACAGGAAATTATAAATTTTTCAAGGGCGACCTGCCATAGCAGCCCTCTTACTCACCTCAAAACAGTGGCAGTCTCTTAGGTTAAGAGTTTCTCTAGCTATATTTGCGATGATCTTCAATGGCGGTAGAAATTAAAGTTGAAGACTAGCCAAAACCTTTTTTTTTTTTTTTTTTATCAGTTTTAGATTAGTGAAGGCTTAGAGACAATTTTTGTTACCATTGCTCTCCTTTGGAGACCAGTCAGTTGGACAGGAAGTAATTAAAAAGAAGGAAAAAGCACACCAATCCCCAATTAAGTACTGTATCGGTGTCTGTGTTCCAGTATTCTTTCTTTTTCTCTTTCAAGTGGCACCAGTTGTCAGAAAGCCAAAACACATGAACTGAAAAAACGAAAGTCCTAACTTTCCCCACACGATCTAAAACAAGTTTTGGCAAGACTTCAAATTGAAGTTCCTAGATGTTTCAAAGCCCCCATAAATATTCTACAGGACATAATCACTGCATACTGTGCACAGTAAAGTTAAAGGGGACAGCCAGTTAGGGGGTTTTATATACTGTATTTTAACTAATAGAAAAAAGTCATTATAACTGCAATTACCTGTTCAATGCTAGGCTTCTCAAACGGAGGGCTTTCCAATGATCCTTCCACCACAGGTTTCCCCATTTGTAGAATGCATTTTCTTAAAAGCTTTGTGTAAAGAGGAATTAAAAAAAAAAAACAAAGAATTGCTTGATTGTATTAATCTTTAAAATACAACCATATCCCATTAAACCAACCCATCTCCCATTAAATAAGTATCTATCAACATTAAACATACCCTGAATTGTATTAAGTACCTTAAATAGATAAAAATAGACTTGTTTAGTATCAGCGTCTTCTTCCTTGTGTACACAAGTGAACAGATATTCCACATCTAGTGCAATTCCCAGAAGTCTATTAATTTCCTCCTCCGACACATTTTCTAAATGGGAAACGTGTGAGGCTAAAAAAAACAGCAATAGGGAAAAACAATATAATGAGATCAATAGAAAAGTGTTTAAATTGTAACTGTGGGCAAAATCAAATATTAAACTATGTAGTCTGTCAGTAGCATTAACACAGCAGTTTTTTTTTTTTTTGCTTTCTGAGTCCTCCTGTAACTTATTTTAATTACCTGTTGATCCTGCCAATAGATATATTGGGCTCCATTCACAAAGCGGTATCTTACAGCATCCGAGTATGAAGTAAGATACTGCACAGCAGTTTTCAAAAAGTTTTTTTCCAATTCACTAAAAAAAAAAAAAAAAAAACACTACTAAAATACCGCATTCACTATTTTATGAAGTTATGTGGTATTTAGTAGTGAAAGCCTGCAGACAATTTAACAGTTTAAATAGATGGTTGTTAAGAAGCAAGAGGCTGCTGGCTTCTTTAATAACCAGTAAACAACATAGTTGTTAAGAGCGGGCAGCCGCCACATCCTTAACAAATGATGAGTCATCAGCTGTCAGTGGGGTTGTCCGCTGACAGCTGAATGTAAAGAAAAGAATTGCCGGCATTTAAAAATTGCTGAAAGAACACTGTGGAGTCCACCCCCCCCCCCATACATACTAGGCCCTTCAGATCTGGTGTGGATTTTAAGGTGAGCCACACAACAAAATAAAAAAAAAATGGTGTGGGGTCTAACCCAACATCCAAACCAGACCCTTACCCAAGAATGCAGCTGGAAAAGTCAGAAAAGGGGGGCTCCCCCCCCTGAACAATACAAGGCCATATGCCCTCAACATGGAGTGGTGCTTTTGGGACAGGGGGGCTCCCCCAACCCCTAAAGCACCTTGCTGATGAAGACAAGGGCCCCTTCCCCCAACCATGCCCCCCCTTTTATTAAAAAAACAAGCCCTTTATTCCAAAAACAAAATAAAAAAAAAATGTCCCCCGCTGTAGATCCAGCATCAATCATGATGAATGTCGCCTGCCAACCCTCAGTAACCCCCCCCCCCCCCACTTTCCTGACCTGCCGGACTGCATGCCTGTATAATGCAGGCCATAGACGGGTCAAGAATCGGCCAACTTTTCAGGGCCAAAAAAAAAAATCAGCCGATTTTCGCACCGTTAATGGGTTAATTGGTTGGCCGTTTTTTCGGGGTTTTGGCACATTTTTTTTTATCGGTTGGAAAAAAATTGGCCGATTTTGTCGATTGCCTGATTTTCCCGGCAATGATGGGCAAATCGGCTGATCATTTTACCGATAAAAAATCTGCACATGAGCCGTGACCTGCAAGAAGAAGAAAAAGAAAAAGAATTCCAGTCCGCTATTATATTTGACACAAAAAGCGGACGATTTTTTTTTACCGTTGGTGGCAACGTCGGCCTATCGAACGACCGATTTTTCCTTTTTTATTTTTTTTTAAACGGCCAGTTTTCGACCCGTCTATGGCCTGCATTAGGGTCTGGCCTTTTATTTCAGCAATTTTTAAATGCTGCTGACAGCTGATGACTCATTGGTTGTTAAGGACGCCAGTGGCCGCCCGCTCCTTAACATTGTTTATTTCCTTTTGTGAATTCAATTTAGTTTAATGCTTGTTCATGCTGTAAATACCGCAAAACGGTAAAGGGAATTGACAGTTTCAGGATTGCATGCAATATTTAGGTAAAATGTGTCTGGATGCCTAAATACCGCATGCGGGATGCTTTAGTGAATGGAGCCCATTGCGTTTTGTACTTCCTTTAACAGGGTGACAATGTTGTTCATTCTGCTGTGAAAATGTGCAGCAGCACTGTCACCTTGTGGACAGAGGAGTCTTAGATGTAGATGTGGTTGTAAAGAGACTCTAAATAAGACAAACTGAAGCCTAACTCTAGCTTTATTTTTAGGCAGTAACAATAAGATTTTTTTTTTTCTCTTTTAAAACAAAAGTTAAGGCCCTGTTCACATATCGCATAGTGGGAATGTGGGGTGTTTAGCATAGGACAGCACATTCACTTGAACTGACTGCCCTATGCACGTTTGTCACATCAGAGAAGCTCAGGGACCAAATTTTGGCCCTACAGGTGTGTTTTTATACACGTCTTGCTGCGATTCACGCTTTTTTTTTTACATGTTTGGCACAATTTGGAATCGCACCAATGGGGCCTAAACCTCATTAAAAAAAAGTTGACCTTTGGGACCATTTCAGCAGTGTTATATGGCTTGTAGCAACCCTTGTAAAGGTCACATTTACTGGGTAGCTTGATCTGTTAAATGAAGTGCAAAAATAAATGATCTACCAACTGGATGAGCAGGTTATGGAGGGATTGTGTTAATGCGTCAATATGAGTTTTTCTTTTAATTTGACCCGAGTTGGATTTTAGGAATTAACCACTAAGAAATTATTTATATCTTAAGGTTTATATGTTCTAGCCAAACATTGGCTTTCTGTTTATATGAGTTAGAAGTCCACATGTCAACTGTTTATTAACAAAGCTACACATAATTTATAGCACTTACTTGCCAGGATGTCTTCACTGAGAGCACTGAATCATTTACAGAAGTCTTTGGCCACATGGGCTTACAGTTTAATGGCTCTACCACATTCACACACTGCCAATGTATCAAGAATTCATGTAGTGTACTTGTTTTTGGATAGTAGGAATAAACTGGAGCACCCAACGGAAACAAAGCACTGAGAACAAGCATGTCCATGCAGATGGGCTTATAAAGAGAAATAGGTGCTGCCTTACCAAGAGTGTGTGAACAGCTACGGCATGGCTCAGTGAGGCTGACAACAGTCTGCTGAAGATCCATTCTCGGTGGTGTAGGGGGGGGGTTTGGGTTTTTCCAGCCATTGCACTTGCATGTTTCATCAGCCTGAGAAAAAAAAATACCCATTTCAGTCACATGTATTTTGTTCACAAAATACTATTTTGTACAAAATACTATATTATAAAATTGTTTCAGCTATTTTCCTCATGTATTTTCTCTGTCTCCATACCTCCTATCAGTGAGGATCTTGGAACACTCCATGTTATACATTTAGTTTTACGGTTGAGTATACATCTACAATAATCTTACTTTAAATTGTTTAAATTAAAGCCTATGTTTAGTCAAATTATTTTATTTTTTTTTTTATATATCAGCACAAGGGATATTACATACACAGTCAATGCAATGCATTGCTTCTGCTGCTAATTGCAGATTTAGTTAACCCCTGCCACCATAATCTTCCAGAACTGAGGGGGTTAACTGTGCTGAAGGATCTGTCATTTGCATGTCCCTTGTGCTACTGGCTGCAGGTTTCCTTGAAATCTTCTGTCCTCAGATCCTCCCTGCAGCTATAATCTTCCAGTGCCATGGGGGTTGATAAAGCCAAGGGAGCTGTGACAGACATTCATTATGCCCACCCTTTCCTCCCACCTCCTCCATTCACAAAAGCTGTACTATGGCTTCTATGAAGGAAAGACAAACAATCTACAAGTGGAGGAAAGGTGGCTGACAGAATAGCCTGCCCCTTCCGTTCATAGATATTTTTTCACTCATAGAAGCTTCTATGAATGGAGGAGGGGATGGAAAGGGCAGGCATAGACAGTACTCTTGATGAGTGCCTGTCAAAGGTCCTTTCGCTCTATTAAACTCCAATGTCCCTTGAACATTAAGGAGGTGAGCGTATGGTGAGTGTGTAGGGTGAGTGTAGGGAGAGTAGGGTGGGATCAGGGACAGAAGATTTAAACTAAATATACAGCCAAAAGCGCAAGTGATACATCGCGCTAATAGTAGGTAATATCCCTTGCTGTGCTGGGATATTATGCTGTTATTAAAAAAAATGTAAATAAACTTAGTCTTTAAATTGTAGTTCAGGAAACCTAGGGCAATCTTGATTGAGGCAGCCAAGGAGAAAATATATTCTCTGTTAAAACTATGAAACTAAAACTATGCCACCCCCCCATTCAAAAATGTGTACTGAAACACTTGATTCTAAGTTAATTTGCATTTATAGTTTTATTCTTAGTACCCCTGCATAGTCCCACCACTACTGAGCCTGCTAATAAAGTCCACCTAATGTGGGATAAGTGTGGCAACGATACTGTGCAACAGAATTTGGGGAAATGTTCCCCGTCATGTAGACTTTGCCTGCTTGCATTACGGTGGGATGAAAACATGTTGCAGGCAGCTTGTTACTGCCGACTGCCAAGCCTGTAGCTTGTCAGTAAGCACCTAGGCAAACTTTAGTCCTGCCCACTGCTTTCTGGAAGGGCAGGACTGCTTCTGTTGCAAAAACTCTTGCTGTGAGTTTCCGTATCTAGGAAGGCAAGCGTGTTAGGAACAAGGAAAGGAGGATTTGGGCTCAGTCAGGGAAGATAAAGGTAGTTTGAGGCTTGTGCATCACATAGTATCTTGATTTGATCCTTTAGACTGTCATACAGGTGCCTGTAGTTGTACTTTAACAGTGGACCTGCTATTCCCCAATGTGCTTAGTAGCAAAAAAAGGACAAATGTATAAGAAGTGAGGCTAAATGTCATGTGGGCTTTAAATGAAGTACTGTTCCAATTACACTCAGCAACTCGGAAGTAATGCAGTTTATGGTCTTATAAATCCAATTGTTCACAATGTGTCAGCGCTTCCCCACAGTTTAAAGCTATCATTTCTAGCACAGGGGTGGGTGTGATAATGAGGTTTTACCTGTCAATACCAGATGATTTCACTCCCCTCCTGCCCAGGCCAATTTTCAGCTTTCAGTGCTGTCACACTTTGAATGACAATTGCTCAGTCATGTAGCACTGCACCCAAATGATATTTTTTATCATTTTTTCACACAAATAGAGCTTTCTGTTGGTGGTATCTGATAATCACAGTGACACTCACCGTTATAAACAACCGTTTTTTATGAATGACATCATTCAGTGACTGCTCCTAGCAATCACATGGTACAGGGCAGCGGCCTGGTACACTGATTTGTCAGCCGCTGTGTCTGGTGGACACAGCAGAAGCCAGATCGTGGCTTCCCTCATATTACGTCCACCCAGGATGGCAGTACTCCCACTCGACCGTCGTTCTATTACAGACCGTGCAGGAAGCAATTAATGATTGAAATTAAATTCCGCTGCTACTGCCAAAATTGTAAAAAAACTTGAAACATTCTTCTTTTTCTTTACATACTGTCACCAGTCAGTATCCCTGATCGCTGCCACTCCAGTCAAATGATGATGTTGTATTGCACGAGTGACAATACGTAAAAAATTTTTCCATTGTGACAAAAAAAATTACAACTGCAAAAAACTTGCCACTAAATACCTTGGACTGTCTACTTACTAAAAAGTGGTCATTTAGAGGGTACTCGTACTGTCCTGGCATTTTAGGGTCTCAAGAACTCAAGAAAAGAGATAGGCAGTCAGTACATCAGGACTGATCGATTTTCATATATACAGTATATACCATAGTTCACAGTCTAAATCATATACTGATTTGTGTTTATTTTTTACTAAAGAAATGTAACAGAATACATCTTGGCCTACATTTTTGCAGAAAGAGCATTTATTTGCTACATTTTATTACAAAAACGAATACATTTTTTCTGAATTTTGTTATTTTTTGTTTATATAGCAAAACAAAATACAAAAATGTCATTTGGGTACAGTGTTGCACAACTGAGTAATTGGCATTCAAAGTGTGACACAACTGAAAGCTGAAAATTGGCCTGGGCAGGAAGGGGGTGAAAGTGTCTGGTATTGAAGTGGCTAAATAGACTTCAACGATGTGAATTAGTCTTAAGAGATACAGGATAAAAAGAGAAAACTAATTGCCAATGTTAGACATTTCAGAAACAATATTTCCAGGGATGAATTTTCAAAGCCTAACATTTTCAATGAAAAGCGTAGGTGGGTATGGGTGGCTGGACATGATCTTATACAAACAAATTTATAGATGAAGTGCGTTAATGCACATATTTATACAGATTCAGGTCCCACTGGATATGCAAATTAATTTGTTTGGTTGATATATTTGCTTTGTAAATCATCGTTACAACATCAGAAACTGTGCAGCCTAGATTGGCAGTCTGGAACACAAGTATCACAGCTTTATAATATTTTTACAAAAGTGGGGCAGCAAGATGAACAATGATATATGGTACACCCTCTTGCAAATATGAAACATCAATGTGGTGTGGTTTGGTTTCCAGGCAAAGGATCTAAGCTTTGCAGTTGAACATTACAAGTGGCCAAAAGGAAGTGCTGCTGGGCAACATGCAGGCTGTGCATCAATAGTGTAATCCAGTTTTTTAAATAAAAAAAAATAAAATCTAAATTATATAATTAAAAAAAAAGAATTATATATATATATATATATATATATATATATATATATATACACACACACATACATATATATATATATATATATATATACACACACACATACATATATATACAGTTGCAAGAAAAAAGTATGTGAACCCCTTGGGATTACGTGGAGTTTTGCATGAATTGGGCATAAAATGTGCTCTGAACGTCATCTAAGTCACAACAATAGAAGAACACAGTCTGCTGAACATAATACTACACACTAGATGTTGCCATGGTTTAATTGTACATAACATGTAAACATTCACAGTGCAGGGAGGAAAAAGTATGTGAACCTTTGGACTTAATAACTGGTTGACCCTCCTTTGGCAGCAATAACCTCAACCAAACGTTTCCTGTAGTTGCAGATCAGACCTGCACAATGATCTGGAGTAATTTTGGAGCACTCCTCTTCACAAAACTGTTTCAGTGTAGCAATATTCTTTGGATGTCTGGTGTGAATCGCTCTCTTAAGGTCATGCCACAGCATTTCAATCAGGTTGAGGTCAGGACTCTGACTGGGCCACTCCAGAAGGCGTATTCTGTGCTGTTGCAGCCATTGTTTTGTTGAATTACTTGTATGCTTTGGATCATTGTCCTGTTTCATCACCCATCCTCTGCGGAGCTTCAGTTGGCGGACAGATGGTCGTACGTTTTCCTGCAAAATGTCTTGATAAACGCTGGAATTAATTTTCCCATCAATGACAACAATCCGTCCAGGCCCTGAGGCAGCAAGCAGCAGCCCCAAACCATGATGCTCCCTTCGCCATGTTTTACAGTGGGGATGAGGTTTTGATGATGGTGTGCTGTGCCTTTTTTTCTCCACACATAGTGGTGTGTGTTCTTCCCAAACAACTCAATCTTGGTTTCATCTGTCCACAGTATATTTTGCCAGTAGTGCTGTGGAACATCCAGGTTCTCTTTTGCAAACTTCAAACGTGCTGCAATATTCTTTTTGGACAGCAATGGCTTCCTCCGTGGTGTCCTCCCATGTACTCCATTCTTGTTTAATGTTTTCCTTATTGTAGATGTGTCAACAAAACTGTTAGCATGTGCCAGAGATTTCTGTAGGTCTTTAGCTGACACTCTGGGATTCTTCTTTACCTCATGCAGCATTCTGCGCTGTGCTCTTGCAGTCATTTTTACAGGACGACCTCACCTAGGGAGAGTAACAACAGTGCTAAACTTTCTCCATTTGTAGACCGTCTGTCTCACCGTGGACACATGAACATCAAGGCTTTTGGAGATACTTTTGTAACCCTTTCCAGCTTCATGCAAGTCAACAATTCTTGATCGTAGGTCTTCTGAGAGCTCTTTTCTGCGAGGCATGGTTCACATCACACAGTGCTTCTTGAAACCAGTAAACCCAAAACAGGTGTGTGTTTTTTTTAAGGGCAGGACAGCTGTCAGCAACACATCCAATATCATCACACTGATTGGAGTCAAGGTTGGCTCACTCTCCTGCTCCAATTAGCTCTGGGAGAAGTCATTAAGCTAGGGCCTCACATACTTTTTCCTCCCTGCACTGTGAATGTTTA